TGATGGTCTTGTCAAATTTTAGCCATTCAGATGGGTATGTAGGGTGATCTTATTTTTATTTTTTTGCGGTACGCGGGCCTCTCCCGTTGCGGAGCACAGGCTCCGGACGCGCAGGCTCAGCGGCCATGGCTCACGGGCCCAGCTGCTCCGCAGCATGTGCGATCTTCTCGGACCGGGGCACGAACCCGTGTCCCCTGCATCGGCAGGCGGACTCTCAACCACTGCGCCACCAGGGAAGTCCGAGTGATCTTATTTTAATTTCCCTGATGAAAAATGAAGTTGAGCACCTTCACACATTTATTAGCCATTTGGATATCTTCTTTTATAAAATGCCTATTCTTTTGCCCTTATTTTTTCCTTAATATCATGATTATTCAGTTTGGAGCTTGCTATGACAGAAGAGGAGGAAAGGAGTGTTTATGGGTTCACTGGGTTCATGTGTATATAGGAGAGTTAAATCCTCACTCTTCTATAAGATGAATATAACATCTAAAAAAAAATCAAGCAAAGCACCACCTCACACTCATTAAGTTGGCTATCAAAAAGAAAAAAGAAAGGGAAGAAAGGGAGAAAGAAAGGGAGAGAGGGAAAGAGAAAGAGAGAGAGAAAGGGAGGGAGGAAGGAAGGAAAGAAAAGAAAGAAAACAGAGGGACTTCCTGGTGGTCCAGTGGTTAAAACTCTGTGCTTCCACTGCAGGGGGCATGGGTTTGATCCCTGGTTGGGGAACTAAGATCTCACATGCTGCACGGTGCAGCCAAAACCAAACCAAACCAAGCCAAAAAAAAAAAGAAAACAAAATAACGAGTGTTGACAAGAATGTGGAGACCGTGGAACCTCTGTGCACTACTGATGGGAATGTAAAATGGTGCATCCGCCGTGGAAACAGTACAGGAGCTTCCCCCAAAAATTTAGCATAGAATTACCATATGATCCAGTATATACCCAAAAGATGTGAAAACAGGGACTTGAACAGAATTTAAACAACCATGTTTATAGCAGTATTATTCTCAGTAGCCAGAAAGGTGGAACCAAATCAAGTGTCCATCTACAGATGAATGGGTAAGTAAAACATGGTATATACATAGTATGAATATTATTCAGCCTTAAAAAGGCAATTCTGACACATGCTACAACATGCATGAACCTGGAGGACACTAGGCTAAGTGAAATAAGCCAGTCACAAAAGGACAAATACTGTATGGCTCTAATTATTTGAGGTACCTGGAGTAGTCAGCCTCAGAGACAGAAGGTAGAATGGTGGTTGCCGGGGAGAGGGGGGAATGGGGACTTAATATTTAATAACAGTTTTCAGGTTTGCAAGATGAAAGTTCTATAGTTGAATGGTTGTGACACAGCACAACAATGTAAATGTACTTAATGCTACTGAACTGCACACTTTAAAATGGTTAAGATGGTAAATTTTGTTATGCATATTTTACAATTAAAAAAATTTTTTAAATCAGAGAGCAGTATAAGCATGCATGGAGGCAAATAACAGAAGTAACAAGAGTGGCTGCTTTGAGGAATGGTAATTAAGGGTGAGTAGTAGTAGGGCAGGAAGAACACAGTATTATCATTACATACCCTGTAGAACTATGGATTTTAAGCTATGCACATGTATACTCTGGATAACATAAAATGATATATGCAAACAGAAATATATGGTGAAACCTTCAGTGTGGATAATTTCCATTTTAGGATCTTAAAGTAGACTGGAGACCTGCAAAGTTTATTTCAAATTTTGAAGTATGGCAATTATTCAAGCTAAGAAATATAAATCTTGATAGGAATAAATGTGTGTAACTGTTTTTCTAACCAATGTGAGAAATTCTCAAAATAGTGAAATATTTATGTGATGAAACTATATTTGTGCTCCCCAAAAAGCAATGCTATCAACTTGTGTATCCTGATTTCCCATATTTTCTTTTGTCTTTTCCTTTTCAGATAACCACATTTTAATATCAGCTTTGGTGATTGCTAGCACAGTAATTTTGACAGTTTTGGGAGCAGTCGTTTGGTTCCTGTACAAAAGAAGTTTGGATTCTGGTTTCACCACAGTTTTTTCAGCTGCACCCCAATCACCTTATAATGATGACTGTGTTTTAGTAGTTGCAGAGGAAAACGAATATGATGTTCAATTCGACTAAGGTTCTGGAAATCTCAGATTAAGACATCAAATACCTTGACAGTGATTCCTATGCAAGATTTTAATATAAAACCTAACAATGAAAATCATGGTTTTTATGATTACCTAATTCCAGTAACGTTCACTATTCTCATGTTATCACTGACTGTGACAAAAATTAATCTTTAGGATTATAAGAACAAAGTTTTTTAAAAAGGAACAATCTTAGATATAATTTAATGGTTTTAACCACCTCCCCAAATGCACCTTTCACTTGAATGAAGGAAAGCTTAAAGCCTGATTTACTATTTATTAATAGTAAATCAGGTAAAAAAAAAAACCAAAAAACCCAGTCTACTTGTTTTACCTCCTCCATCTTCCCTCCCAGAGTGAGTTGAATCACCTTGGTTTATAGTTGAATTAAAAAAAAAAAAGAAAACTTCTACTTATCACTATAATTTTAGCAATCACTAGGCCTTTAGTAATTTCTATGGTCTTGCTCCTTTATCAATAAGATATGGAGAATAAACCTGACCTTAAAATAGATTCTCTATATTTAGATATCACTTATGCTGGTTACTCTGATAATTCCTCTAATATTTCCATCTTCATGATTTACATGCAGAAAATTTTACAGATTTTTAACACCCCATATGCCATGTAATTATACAGTTTCAGTACTCTTAGAACACTGTTTTGGACCACAAACAAACAGTATTTAGCACTGATCATAAATGGTCAGAATTTCAGTAAGATTTAATAAATTTTGTGAAACAAAAAAAAAATTACAGCCATACCAGGAAGGTGTAGAGGAGGCTGGCATTGCGGGTAACGCTTGGGTCATAGTGTCCTTCAAGGATTTTTCTCCTACTGCCATATCTGTTCCTATATATATCTCATGCTCCTCAAGCCTTGATGAAGTTTATCCTTCAATGACATGAAACCTGTGTAAGCAATAACTGCAGAGAAAAACTAAATACTACTGTAGTGATCATGTTCAAAGTTTTCAGTATGTGTATTGTACATTTTAAGACAATGGTGAAATAATCATTTGGGGGGTAAAAAATGAAAATGGAAGAAAGCTGAAACTATGATTTCTTTAGCAACTTAAAAACACAGAATTAGAAAAGATAATGTATGTACTTCACATAAAATTGTATTTACTTTACGTAGAAACTTGGAAGTGCGAGGAAAGTAATCTCTCTCCCTAATGCATATCCCATCATCTATCATCTTATGGGAATACTTTTCATATGGATAGAGACACTATCTCTCAAGGTTGACCAGTGGCAACGAAGTCCTAGCTTGCGCCATCTGTTTCCACTGGCCACCATGAATCAGAAACATCCCTCGTCACAATTAATGGCAGTTTTCTTAATGAGACAATAACTGCAAAGTGAATAATGTGACTATGTGGTACTAAAAAATAAATTTTATACTAGGTGTTATTACAAAACAATTATGCTCTGTAAAAGCTTTGAGATTTTGTGTATTGATTGAGATGTCTATTTTATTACTGATAGAGTATTAATAGTGCTGCTAATCGTGAACATTAGACTGGAATTCCTTACTGCTTTTGCTACTCAAATTCTACCACTCCTTTAAGAACTGAGGCCAGCCATCTGTTCCTTAAAGCTTTGTAACTATCAATCACAGATCTTTACAGTATCTAATACAGTAGCCACTAGCCACATGTGGCTATTTAAATAAAGTTCATTTCCTCAATTGCACTAGCCATATTTCAAATGCTCAGATCACATGCAGTTAGGAGCTACCACGATGGGCAATGCAAATTGTAGAACATTTCCATTATCATAGAAAGTTTCAGTGGACAATGCTGCTCTAGAGTCTCCCCTTCCACTTCTACATAACTAATTTTCTTCAGTTCATTTCAATAACTTCTACCTAATAATGACAGCTCTACCAAAATGGCTGTTTTAACTGATTTAATTTTCCATGTTTGATTTTATTTTCAAACAAGTCCTTAAAGACCCCGGTAATGCAGTGCTAAATCTTAATTCTCTTTATATATCTGAACATCTGTAGTAGGCCCTTGTATCTATTTGGTGGTCAACAGAAAACTGAATCATTCAAGTCTGTGTTTATTTTTAATATTAACAGTAACATTAGCATGCCTGTTTATATTCAGAATGTATAAACTGCTTTCTTCAAACATCTTGGTTCTACCCAATAATGACAATGTAATTCTTATGTTTGGCAACTATTACTACTATCATTACTTTTAGCTGCCATTTACTTTAACTACATTTTCTTAGGAATTTGCAATCTTAAATTCTTAGGAACTTGAGTAGTATATGGTCTCTATTTTGTTCAGAATTTAAAAGTGATACCAATGAAAGATTTTTCTTATTCCCTCTAATTCACATTTACAGGACATATGAAGCTAATACAACATTGAAATACTAAGTGGTACAAAGGAACTACAAGAATACTATAAAGCCCAAGCCACTGTCTGTATCTGTCATTTAGCAGTTAATATAGCAAAACCATAAATAAATTGTATGCACACCAATGGAATGTTTTCTACCATTTACTTAAAATTTTTAAATAAAAAATTCTGTGGGTTAACACACTACATTTTCATGCTGAGTTCTATTAAAAGCATAAATGTTTCAAATTCAAAGCATCCCTAAAGACCTGTAGAATAGATACTGATACTGACATCCTTAAATTTTGCATATCTGCTTTAAGGAAGGCAACGCAAAGATAACAGGCAGAAGTTGACAGGCAGAAGCTGAACAAATATTTTAGAAACAATTATATTTCATATAAAATGGGATTTAAAATAAGATTCTTGGCTATAAGGTTTGAAGGCTTCTTTGAGCACCAGTTTAAAAGGAAACATTTCAAACTATAAAGTAAATCAATCAGTATGCACTTTATTTCAAGCCGAAGTTTTACATTAAGACCAACAATCTGACTGAATGTGGGCAAACTGTTGATTCACATGTGAGAAATTACATGGTTTCTATTTGGGTTCTGAAAAAGTAGCTGGACAAAAGACTTTATTTAACCTGAAACCCACCTGCAGGCGTTTTTAAGTGTATCCTAAGGGTGTTGACAGAGAAAATATACAGTGTTATGGACATATACACAACTCAGGACCACAGTATGGTGAACAGTTAATGTTCATCTCTTCTCTAAAGGTAGTGAAAAATATTAAGTCATCAAATAAATGCTTAGAATTACCAAGGAACAGTTAAAAACGACCAGGATCCAAACAGGTTATTTATATCATATTTATCTATAAAGAAGTGACAACACTAAAAAACACATTGAAAACCAGTGTTTTAAATTCTGAATGTGGGATTTAAAAATATTTAACTTGAGACTGCAATAATATTTTTAACCAAATAGCATCTGACTGGCAATTCTGATATAATTTACAGCTGTAATATTCCTAAAAGGAATATCTACATACTATGGCCTATCAAATATAATCTGCATTTTGCACATCAATACAAAAAGTTATCCATTTGTACACTTTATATATTTTAAAAATTAGACCATTGCTAAGTGAATTTAGAATTCAAATTAAATTTGGAAATCTAATATAATGAATGCTCTTAACTTTCTCCCCATTCTTTTTTTTTTTTTAAACACTGGAAGCAAGTGATTATGAAAATGAGACCGCAACTTAAGGCATTTTAAAAAGAAAAATAATTAGGTGCCATTTGGCAATTTATTCTAAAAGCATACTTTGTCCCACTTTTTTCACTAACGAGACTAAAACACCAACCTTTTTTCATAAATATAACTACAGTAATCACAACACAAAAAAGGGCTGTCAGCATTGCTTAGATATTTAAAACAAGGGTAACACTTTCCCCACTCATCTAAAAGAAAAATACTTTTAATTACCAGTTTATAAACATCAGATTCACTGGCCATGTTAAAAGGCCCAGCAGAATTTTAATTCAGCAACACTTGAGAATGAACATATATATACATGCATAATATGTGTGTGTATATATATATATTTTTTCATTCTATATATATATAGACAGTAAATGTATTCAATAGGTATTTCCCCAGAAAATTAATTCATACTTAATTGCCAGTTTTAATAAACACTGTTCACAGATCATCCATTTGTCTCATGTGAAGTTAGGCAATATCAAATGTTCTGTTATGGTCTCCATCTTCTTCAGAATCATCCTCTGAAGCTGTTGAAAGAAAACAGGATGATCAAGAATGATTTTAAGGGGGATGAGAATGGAAGTGTAAGTATGAAGCCAGAACAGCAATGACTTGTACGATAAAAACCCCAATGTAGTATATGCCAGGGTTAGGGCGGTCTGACTGTGGGTGAGGCCCGTCTACAACGCTCCCACCCCCACACTTTTTTCTTCTGTTAGTTTTTATTAAAATGAAAATGTTTAAAAATGTGATCCAAGAACATCTAAAAAGTTTCTGAGATCAATTTGTGTTCATAGTAGCTAATGAGAAATACACTAGAGAAAAGAAAGAGTAAACTTAAGGCAAGTGCTCTCACACACCTGAGTAGAATCTGGCTTATTACCGCTGCATGTTTGATGTATCCGATGAGAATGAAAAAAATGTACATAGAATAACAGGTTATGGGTGTTCTTGAAATTTACATCAGAGCTATGTCTATACAATGCCAAGAAAAAGCTCTAGTCAAAAAAGCTTTATATAGACACAGCCTAAGTTAATATAATTGGATTTAGTAAAAACCTTTTGTTGAGATTATTCCTATGCCTCCACATTGTCAGAAATTTATCACTCTCGCAACACGTCCGACCTCAATTTATTTTAAAGTCATTAGTGGCTCAAGAGTTTAATATAAAACTTCCACGAACGTCTTTAAGAAGGACACAGTAAGTACAAGACTATGTAACTGTCTGCATGTGAAGGAAAACGGAAGTTCACTAAACATCCTACCAGCATTTCCCCTATTATCAAGGGCAGAAAGGTTAAATGTACACTCTTCTTGTATTTAATACTGGACAATTTAAGGGCAACCAGCAAATGGAATCAACAAGAAAAAATTATGCAACACGTATAGATGAAACTTCAATCTCCATATATTTACCTTGCAGAAATTTAAAATCCACTTTAAATAAATATCAAGCATATACTTAGCTCATGAAGAGTAAATCCTATGCTTAACTTTTATGCAATATCATGGAGAAATGTTAAACTAAAAAATAAAATAGCTTTTCAGAGAATTTCTCATGTTTTCTATTGGATTAACTCTACAGAACAAAATTCAGTCAGAACCAATTTTCAGAATGTATTAATACTCTAGTACTTAGAAGTTAACTTGTAGCACCCACATCTTTCACTCTCAGTTGAGTCTGGGTATATATTTCAACTTCACCTTTTTCCTCTCATTCACAGGTTGGGAGTAGACCCTCCTATATGTTTAGAAAACTAAATTCTAAATGAGAATGTTAGTTGAAAAAAAACAAGCAATCTGGGCAAAATGTACACTGCAACAAATTACTCTCATCACATCTGACAAAGTATCAATTATAATTTACAAAAGACAGAACTAATCTTTGTACTAGCTAACATGATGGATCTGAACTAAGAAGGAATGAAGGAAAAAAAGATTTACACTAATGAAGTCCCACTTTATTATACCATTTGATTCCTTTATATACCATTTCCACACATACTAAAATTGTGAAAATGCATTACCCAGTTGTACCTCTAATCCTTTTAAAACTTAAAAAAAACCTTACTTCAAAGGATGCTAAGCTTTCTCTAGAGGTAAAAATATTATGCACACTACAGGTTAACAGTCCAAGTATTTTGAAGATGAGTATAGAAGATAATCAATTGGAGAATACATATATAAAAACACTTCAAAGAGTGTACTGGAATCTGATCATGGGATGCCAGTTGCTTTGGGTGAAAAAGCACAATAGGGTAATCTTGGATTCCCAGGAACTGTTCCAGAGCCACCAATATCTGTGCCCACCTGGTATGAAGCACCCTGGAGGTTGTAGGACTTTGAGAAGAGGGTAAGCTGTGCAGATGCCTGTAAAGATTTGGGCATTAAGTGCCTTCACATAGGAGCCCAGGCAGAAGTCCTAAAGCTGGAACGTGATCTTAAGAGATTGGAGCTGCTGGCGGAGCTGGCTGCCTATTAAAGGTCCATGAGGACCTGAACAAGGAGCAAAAAAAAAACAAAAAACTATGGCTTCTGTTAGGGACTCAGAATTAGGACTCTTTCACCATTATATTCCTAGAACTATATATAAACCCAGGGAACACCTTTTATGATCTAACAAAGCTAAAGAACAAGTAAAATTTCACACACAAAAAATCTAAAGAAGTGTGTTTTGATTAGTAGTTAAACGTCTTCTTTTAAAAAAGTGTTAACATTAAAAGTGTTAAAATTAAGGTGATTAAATATATATTTTTATTTTAAATAAAATACCGATGGTTATAATAACACCCTTCCATACATTAAAATTAATTTAATTTTTAAAAAATAGGCTCTTAAAAAACTAGTGTCAGTTGCCCAACCCATCTTTCCCAAATCAATTATTCTGGTATTATTAAGCCTATAAATGAAGCTCTAATTTGGTAGAAAGAGTATATATATACTTAGGTTTTGCTCTGTGGGTTTAATTTGCAAAAGTAAATTCAACAAGTCTGGGGAGGGGAAATTCCACCTACTTTCGAGATCTTCCATATGTGCCTGAAGAGTTCTTGCAAGGTTAATAAACTAGAAACAATGCAGAAAGAAATACAGTAGTTTAAATGTAGCAAATGGATCTAAAGAGAGAATCAGTATAAGAGATTCATTTCTACTTAAAAGTCAAACATAATTTTAAGCCTTTAAATAGGGGGTCTTTCTCCCCCCACATCAAAACTTACAAGCTTAAGGATATGATTTTTTTTAATGTCTTATATAATCATTATTACCTATGTAAAAATCATATATTAATCATGTAGAAACTGGGAGCAGATATAATATTCTATGAATACCGCTGTCTTCTTGCATTGATATAATACTTCCAAAAACTATGGAGAAAAAAATTAAACCTCTGCATTTTGGACCCAAGTGAACTTTAGTGGTCAATTAAAATAATAAATCAGTATTTTCCTGCCTAGAAGTATTACATTTGACTCCGTACTTTTAAAAAAATAAAAGTGACTTCCACTTTAATATTAACTTGTGTATACCTTTTACAAAGGCATGAATTCAACACATATTATTATATACTTTATATGGTTCGTTCACTCTGAAGAGGTAAGTTGCCTGTTTAGAAATCAAGAGCTCTTTGCTCAAATTCTGAAAGCTCTTGATAGTTCGTTCTCTTTTCTCTGAATGATAATAAATCTGTCAACTGGCTCACAGGAATAGTGTTTACATGATTACAGAAAAATGTTCTACCCATATACACTGAATTGGCTATTTGATAATTTTCAAAATATAATGGAAACATTATACCTCACCATAAACTCTACTAAATTTTCATCACCAAGAGAATATCTATATAAAAAATAGTTTGAAGGATATGTTTATGAACACATTTCAAAATAGTAGGTGTTCAGAATGCTACTGCAATGAGATATAGACTCTAGTCCCCACTACATAAAATGGGCAAGGCAGTATAAATTTCCATAACAGTACCATTTAATTAAAAATACCTAACAAACAGCTAGCTTAAGTGTTAAATTAAGGCAATAGGGTATAGACTAAATACCAAATAGTCCAGCTCTTAAGTAGTTTGAAATATGGAGGCTTAAAAACTACTACACTGGTAATCTTTTACAAGAAAGTAACAAATAAATTGAAGTTAATTTCCCATACTCTTTCAGTTTTTGGAGTTCAATTTCAGGTTTCTAAGTTAAAATACTGAGTCTTGTTTTTGTTTTTTAATTAAAAAGAGCATTTTCCTTAGTACTTCCAATTCTGTCCCCGTTTTTCACTGAAATATATTCCAATCACCTTCAAGAGCTAGAAAATTACTTCTTTTTCTAAAACAGCTTTATGAGAAAATAAGGCTGCTTGATAAAGAGGTAAGGCAGACAGCAATTTCTATTAAATCTACAGTACCTTTAATTTTAAGAAAGATTTTAATGTAAGAACTCCCCAAAGGAAATAGACTGTGAACATATAAAACAATCTGCTTTCCAAAGCAAACACTTGTTGCATCACATCCTCCCTTTTCCCCTGCTCCAAGGTTACTTACTCGGACACGTGTGCTTGGTTCATTCGTATTTCCCATCATATCAGAAAAGCTTTGTTCGCACAAGTGCAGTAACACAACTAGGTAGAGACCAGAGCTGATAAACTCATACTCAGCCTTCAAAAGGGAAGCAAACAAGAAAAAGAATATGGAGAATGAAAAATTAATAGACAAGAGATTGACATCCAAAGTATACTGAGAAACTAGAGAAAATGTATTCATATCCAGTCTTAGTAAGAGATACAGCATCATCCATTAAACCAAGAAATAAAAAGTCACGCTCCATAATTTCATAATTTTACTAATGCTGTAAGGTGTACAAATAGGTGTGTGAATATCCTCTTTATTTTCATACAGTCTTCTTTTATGTAATTTATATAAAAGTGGGACTTTTAACTCATTTGATGGTAGAATGAATGCTCTGGTTCTATCAAGTTATAATGCGCCTAACAGATTTTATTAACACAAATGGCTACAAATGTTTACTTAAAATTATCATTTCATCTATAGCTAAATCAATAAATTATACAATTAAAACCTAGTCAAATGGGTCAAGTGTCTATTACATAATATAATTAACTTTAAGGCAACAGCAGATATAAAAATGAATAAAGGTAATAGAGTAACTGTTCTTCGTATCATTCACATAGAAATTTATAGTAAAAACTGTCCTTTGGTTCAAAATTGTTGTTCTGAAGCTAAGAATACAAGTCATGAATATAGTGTTATTAAAAACCTAATCTGTCCTGTAATTTTTATACAGTGAACTACCTGTAAGTTGTACCATTTTTGGCAATTAACTCATCTGAAGTTAAGAACTATATGTTCTTAGTAACAACTTCAGCAAGTAACGGGTTATCAGATTCCACAGAGCATTCAAGAAATCTGAAATTGACTTATTAAAACTTTCTTTAAATCTTCACTTACTTTTCTTATTTTTAACTTAAAAGGAAATAAATTTATGTCCTCAAAATTTTTAAAAAAATTTTAATGCTTATCACCTTGAAAAAATTGAAGCCACTGGACAATGAGGAAATAAACTGCATTAAACTAATCATTTCAAATGAGAGTAGTTCTTGGGCCCCCAGAATCCAAGATTCACACAGAACAAAGAAGTTAAAGCCAGGAAGCTTAATCAAGACTGTCATTGCTTTTATAATGACCCCACCTAATATTTCCTCACACTTAAATTATTTAAGATTGTGGGTCATTAAATCCTTGGAGAACCATGAAAACATTCCTGGTTGAATCGAAATGCCAAAGAACCACCTTTAAGAGACATGATGGAGCACCTAGAGAAGGAAGAATGGCAGAAGAAAACCATCCTTTGAAATCTACTCTCATTTTGAAAAGATGAAAAAAAAATTTTTTTCTTTCCATCATTCTATTTTTACATACTCTTTCCCCCGTTCTTTAAAATACCAATGCTCAGCTATCTAGAAAGACTCCTTAGGGATTGAAGACAACTCCTTGCTGAAAACACTATTCTCTTTGGACAAGTGGCTCATTAAAGAATAAAGTAATAATTAGTATGAATAGCATCTATGCTACATCAATTGCCTTAATGGTTCATTAATTAAATCAGTGATTCTTAACCTGGATCTAAGTAATCAGCTTCAAAGGATCTGGGAATCCCTTAAATCATATACAAATATTGTGTCTTTGTATATTTTGTTAGGAGTGTGATTTTAATCAGATTTTCAAAGGGTATTCATTATTCCCACATTTTAAAAGTAAAGGGTATCCATAAAAGATCATGTTGCTTGATTCCATTTATATGAAATATCCATAATGGATAAATCCAGAGAGACAGAAGGCAGTTGGAGGTTGCCGAAGGAAGCAGGGGACAGGGAGCAACTGGCTAACGGGTACAGGATTTTCTTTAGGAGAGATGAAAGTGTCTTAGATGGCGGTGGTGGTTGCACAACATCGCAAATATACCAAAGTGTTCACTTTAAAATGATTTTTATGTTTATGTGAACTTTACCTCTATCAAAAAAAGGGGGGTGTCCACTACTCCTTTAAGTGTTTTTCAAGCATTCATGCATTCTCCCACCATCATATCTCTTTTATAACAATTATGCTAAGCACACTTGGAGAGTACGGTTCTTGAGTCATCCTTGTAATCTCCTTTAACATCTTTTTTCCCCAGAATTTTCCTTTAGGAGGAAGAAAAGGGGGATAATATTGAACTCTTCATTCTACCTATCTAAGCATCTCAAAAATTTTTTTTAATTTAAAGCTTCAAGAAACAAAAATTAGTGACCAAATCATTATTAGGAGGAAAACATTTATCAATAATACCCCAAAATCTGAGAAATGAGAATATTTGAAAAAAAATTTAATAAGATTAGATTATTGATTATATGAATAGACTATAATGACACAAATACTAAAAGAAAGAGGTTTATAAACAATGTGAACTTGGAATAAAAGATTTCATAAGTTGTTCAACATAAAGTTGGAGGTAGGAATGAGGAGAGTGGAGGGAACCAGGATAGTAGAAGAACATGGGGGCAGATAGGCACATAAAAAGCTATTCCTAACATTAAAAAAAATGAAGGGAGGAAGGGAGGGACGGAGGGAGGGATGGAGGGAGGAAGGAAGGAAGAAAGAGGATGAAGATCCAGGGCTTGGTGTTTCAAAAATGTTCTAGGACTAAGAGGTATTCACAACTAAGACAGCTCTTAGCATGCCTATTTGGGGACCACTTAGTAAGCCTTTATTTTCACTTTTATTTAGCAACCATATAATAAATTTTACCTTAATTTTAAACCTGTGACTTGCTTTTTTGCCTTTCACTTTCAAAAAGTTATAGGAAAGTAAAGAAAAATTATAAAATCATACCTAATGCAGTAAAAGAAAATTGTTGTTATTATTTTAATGCAGGTTTTCTGACCATGATTTAATCTTTTCTTCAAGAGTTGTCCTTTAAGCACAGAATAGACACTTACCAAGGTAAATTAGGCAAAATATACTAACTTGTTCATTTGCATGAGCTCTATGTAGTTCATGAATATCAAAATCCTCCAGGTTAAGCTGCAACTTCTCTTTACAGAGTTCACAGGTGGTTACAGCCTCTAGCGAAGAACCTGGTAAAAAATTACAAGTAAAGCTTAATTTTGCAGGGTCACCACAAAACATTTTTCCTTGTAGGTTTAAGCTTGGAATACAGAAAACTGAAAGGAAGGCAGGGAGGAAGAGATAGCAGGGAGACTGTGCTACAACCATAAACCAGTAATGTCTCCTAAAATATCAATCAGTAACACCTGATGTGCATGTCAAGTCCTAATCTGTGGTACCTAAGCCTCCACCCATTATTTGTGGTTCAGCCCACCAGATGCTCATACATTTTGATATGGGAAGCTGACAATGGAATGTTATCTGTACTTCCTACTTCCTCAAGTACTCTGGCAAGATGCCAAGAAAACATGGTATCTAAAATGACTAGTTACATATACTCAGGCTAGCATCTTTAATGTGACAACATATACTAAGACCTTCTGTGGTCTAAGAAATGTGTCTTCCCTGCAGGATAGAAGGCAAAAAAAGGGATCCACCTTTGTTCAGATAAAAACAGCCCCCCTCCGCCATGAAAAGAATGAAGTCCTTATACATGCTACAACTAAGTAAAATAAGGCACAAATAAGATACAAAAAGGACAAATGTTGTATGATTCCACTTGTAAGAAATATGTAGAATAAACAAATTCACAGAGAAAGTAGATCAGAAGTTAGCAGGGGCTGGGGAGGAGGGGGAGAAGGGTGTTAGTGCTTAATGGGTATAACATTTCTGATTAGGATGACTTAAAAGTTTTGTAAATAAATAGTGGTGATGATCACAAAACATTTGGAATATACTTAATGTCACTGAATTATATACTTAGGATTGGTTAAAAGGGCAAATTTCATGCTATATCAATTTATATTTTACCACAATTAAATAAAATTCCGTCTGTCCTATAGGCACTCAACATTTGGTTACTCCTAAGCTTCTGGCTCCAATTAAGTAAGTCTTGTCTAATTAAATAAATAGACATTTTCCCCCTTGTGTTTATTTTTAGACAGGGTTTTAAAATGAAAAAATGTACTAAAAATTAGAGCAAGTCATGTGCATAAACAAGATAAAGATTTAGATTCAATTTAACTAACATTTACTGAGTGTTTGTTATGTGCCAAAATAGATTAGAAGTTCTGGAGATTCAGGATAAGTCCATAGTATTATGACCTGATGGAGAATATAAATAATGTGAAACTTCAGAAGGCTTTCTCTTATCAGACATTTATTCTCTGATTCAGAAGCAGGAAAAAATGTGATGGTCATAAAATATGGACACTGGATATCATTAAAACAAAGTCTTTCACATCTTAGGGTTTCATTTTTCTCTTCCACGGAACAAGTGACCTACAGAAGTTGTTCAAAAAGGCCATACGCAGATGGGAGGAACCCATTTATCCCTACAGTCTTTAATCCAGGACTCTGTCCTTTACACCCCACCTCATTCAGTAGGCCCTGACTGCATTTGCCTAAACTTGTACTAGACGTATTCTATTTATCTTTGAACATCCTGTAGAGTTTTAACAGTCCATATATAGTAGCTGCCTAATAAATGTTGAAATGAATCTCTACCAGAGAATCACCTACCAGATGGGGTCTTTATGTAAATACGAGAAAGCCTTGTGGAAACTTAAAAGGAAGGTTCAGTTCTTGAGATCTTAACATTCATTTGACCATGAATACTTATTATTACCTTTAAAACCTATTTAATTGAGTACTTACTATGAGTCCAATACTGTGAGAAACTATTCATAAACATCATCTCATTTGACCATAACAACAAGCTATTACTCAATTTTATTCATGATGAAACTGAGGCTCAATCCCAGACCTACTTAAAAATGTTTAGGAATGGATGTGAGGCATCTATATTTTTAAAAACTCCAATGGTTAATATTTTGATCAGCAACCAGGGTTCAGAACCAATGTTAAGAGACTTACTCAAAATCCTATAGTTAAGTGTCAGAGTCAATATTCCAACCTAAGCATGTCTAACTCCAAAAATCCAATGTTCTTAGACAATATATTGTGTTATCTGTTTTCCTGCCTACATAATACTAACAATCCAATTGCAAATATAACAGAAGGTGAGTCAAGTTGTTTTTCATTTTGGTAATACCTAACATCTCTGGACCCTTGCTAAGTGTCAAGAACCATGCTGAGCACTCATTTTATCTTAATAACACCCCAGGGTGGTGACTAATAAAGCCTATGAGGCTATCATAACACTATACAGCCAAGAAGAGGCTGCTACAGGTAAGACAGCCCTATCCCACAGGTTCGGGAGCAGGTCAGGTTACAAGAAAAGATAACCCCCTACCCCAAGGAGGCCTTTGCTAACCTTGCTGCAGGAAAAAAGTTTCCCACTAGCCTCGTAATCTCCAGTTTGAATAGGTTACTCAAACTTCTCCAACAGATTATTAAAATTAATACCATCATACCTCACAACCTGTTTGCCTATGCTACCCAGCTATCATCATCAGACTGTCCTTTTCACACAATTATGTACATTTATTACTCTGGTCTAATTTCCCATCCTACTAGTCACATTCTTACCCTACGAGTAACATTTCACTAGGTCCTCTGGTACTTATAGTCTAACATTAAATTCCTCTTAACCAATCTCCTTTATGAATTATCTCTTCAACTGCAAGCCTGAACCACAGTGCCTCACAAACTGATACATACTCTTCTGCAGCCATTTTTTCCCCCACAATGCTTTGTACCTCAGGACCAAGAAATAGGGATAGATGCCCCCTCCCCACACCTATTGCTGTTTTGAAACCCTAAGTCCCTCCTCATGCATTAATGACTTTAGCACGTCTCTTCTTTACCCAGCTTATTTCTTGGCTATTTCAACATGCACATAAGACCACATTTGATTCTGACTTCCTCAACATCCCTGCTTCCAATATTACCCTAAGCCACCTACTTTATGGTCATACCCTTGACCCTGTCATTGCAGTGTACTACTGCACTACTCCTAAAATCCGTATTTTAAGCATCGTCTCCTGTGCACCTACAACTTTTCATCATTTTAGCTCACCTACTCTGGCAATTCTCTTCAATGTCACTGAGATTCAGAGACACTGACCCTACCACTTCTCGCTATCCACTTCCTAATGTCCTTACTCCCTTCCTTATTTTGTCTAATTTCTAGGCTTACCACAACTACAGCCTTATAACACCCTTAACTCCCTTCATCATACTTGCCTGGCAAAGGTCCCAACCCCATCGAACTCAAATCCTCATCTGTATCCAAGTATCTGAAAACTGCTTCTTAAAAAAATGTACATGTATCCCAATCCCACTTTTAAATCATATTCATGGCCACAGATTTTTATGGACATTAGTAGTACCTGAAAACCCTGAAAGCATTTTAGAATGTTATTTTCCCCACACATGAAAATCTCTTAACCCATCCCCTCATCAGCTAAAGACCTTACTAAGAAAACAAGCAATTATATAGGAATTCAAGCACCTTCTCACCAAAGCAACAATCTGATCAATAATCCATATCTACACTAGCTTTCTAGCGATGAAGTACCCTTTTTCCTATTAAAGGCTAACTACTCAACTTGTGCTCTGGATCCCATCTTTCCCTTCCCTTTTTTTTTTTTTTTTTTTTTTTTTTGGTTCGCGGGCCTCCCACCGCGGGTACGCAGGCCTCTCCAGTTGTGGAGCACAGGCTCCGGATGCGCAGGCTCAGCGGCCATGGCTCACGGGCCCAGCCGCTTTGCGGCATGTGGAATCTTCCCGGACCAGGGCACGAACCCGTGTCCCCTGCATCGGCAGGCAGACTCTCAACCACTGCGCCACCCTCCCTTCCCTTTTCATAATTTTTTTTCTCTCCATTGTATCTCTTGTTAAAATAAAAAATGCCCTCAAATTTCTACCTCGAAACAAAAACAGAACAAAAACATGTACCATGACCCCATATAACTCTCCAATTCCTACTGTGTCTCCAATCTCCTTGACAGTAAAGCTTATTGTAAGAGGGCGTCTATGCTGCTGCTTCCCCAGTCTTACTCAGCTCAATTTAATCATAAAGACACCTCCCCACCACCTCCCCAGCACTGAAGTCACCAAGGTCATCCATGCTACCAAATCCAGCTGTCATTTCTTTGTTCCTTTTTTTTTTTTTTTAAGATGTACCTGGGCCTCTCACTGTTGTGGCCTCTCCCATTGCGGAGCACAGGCTCCGGACGCGCAGGCTCAGTGGCCATGGCTCATGGGCCCAGCCGCTCCGCAGCATGTGGGATCTTCGTGGACCGGGGCAGGAACCCGCGTCCCCTGCATCGGCAGGCGGACTCTCAACCACTGCGCCACCAGGGAAGCCCCATTTCTTTGTTCTTATCTCTTTGTTCTGATTTCTTTGCAGTACCTGACAGGGTTGGTTACACCCTCTTAAAACATTTTCTTCTTCTGGCTTGCACAACACTACATTTTCTCAGTTTTCTTCATACCAGACTGAGGCTGCTCCTCAAATCTCCTTCTCTGTTCCCACTAAGCGTTTGGGTGCCTCAGGGCTCTGCCCTTGGGCTCATTTTTTTAATATCTGCTCTTGCTCAAGTGACCTTACTTAATCTCAAATCTTAAAATATTACGTGCTCATGATTCCTAAAACTGTTATTTTCTGTGCTAAAACCCCTGAAACATCACGCCTGTCTTGCTAACTGCCCATAACCATTTCCATATGGTTATTTAATAAATACAATATTTCTTCAAATACAATATATACAAATACAATATTTCTAAAACAGAACTACGTTTCCTCTCCCAAATTTATTCTATTCTGTCTTCTTTATTTTCAGTAAATGGCCCCACCATTTATTTAGTTGCTCAAGGCAAAAATATGAGCTTCGCTAAGTGTTCTTTCTCCTTCACTCCACCACATCCAATCCACTGGCGAGTCTTATAGAATCTACCTCCAAAACATACCAGAATCCCTCATCCATTTCTACCACCACCATCACTACCTCTTGTAAAGACAGACTCCTGGTTGGTCAACACAATAGATTCCCGGTTGACCTCCCTGCTTCTACTCTTGTCCCACTAAACTCCACTCTTCACAGAGCAGCCAAAACATAAATAAGATCATTTCACTCCCCTGACCTTCAGTGGCTTCCCACGACACTTACCTAAAAATCTAAGCTTCTGACATTAACTCTCAAAGTCCTAAATGAGCTAGCCTCTGCTAATCTCTCTTACCTCAACTTATCACCCCTCTCCTTTCCCACTAATTATATTCCAGCCATGCTGGGCCTTCATTCAATTCCTCAAACACACCTAAGTCATTCCCACCTTAAAGTCTCTGTACTAGTTGTTCTGTGTGCTGGAATGCTTTTCCTTTCATTCTAGAATAGCTAGCTCCTCTTCGTTCAAGTATAAATGTCCTCACCTCAACAAGGCATTCCTTTAACACGTAATCCCACCAGGAGAGCAAGTGCCTTGTCTGTCTTGTTCTCTGTATCCCACATCTAGAACAATGCCTGGCTCCATAACAGGCACCTAATAAACAACGACTCCCTACAGTAATCTTATTGCTGCATAGCAACATTAGAGACAATAAAACTTTTTCAAGGACACATAGTTGGTAAACAGTAAGAATATTTCTTTGATTCAAAAAGATATTGCATGATGTAAGGGTTACCAACAATAACAAATTACAGTTGCATTATACATGTATGACAGTAGATTGTTCAGTAAATGAAATATAAGAAACACTATTATACGTTAAATTTATGAAGCAAGACTAATGCTCTTCAATGCTTTTGCTTCAAAAAATGATTGATGCTTTTGATAAGAGTATAAATTTGACAATCAATAAATTATAACCATATTTGTTAATTAAAATGCATACATACGTGCATCTCTTGAAAAAACTGTGAAAACAAAATACACAAAAGGGTAAATCTTACCAGAGTTAATTTTGGCCTGTAACCATTTTTTCATACACTCTTGGTGGACATATTGCAAACTTCCTGTGCACTTGCATGGCTCTATCAGCAAGTTAGAGGATGATGCAGCTGCCATCTGACAAATTCTACATAAATCACCTTCTTCTTCTTCAGAGTCCTCTAAAAGGAGGCTGGAAAAGAAGGTACATTTCCTAAACAGAGCTATCAAAACCATCCTGGTTGGTCATTTCCAATCATACATAAACCCAAACAATATCATGGTCTCTCTAGGTAGAAAAAAGGCAAACAACAATAATAGTAAACAGGAACTTCTAAGAAAAACTGTATCAGTAAGAATAAAAATTATAATAAATATTTTAAAGGTAAATGAGGTAGGCTATCCTATTACTTATCTTCAAATGGTTTAAGTAATTATCTTTGGTACCACAGTTTTTTTTAATTTTATTTATTTTTTATACATCAGGTTCTTACTAATCTATTTTATAAATATTAGTATATATATGTCAATCCCAGTTTCCCAATTCATCCCACCACCACCACACCCCACCCCTGCTACCAGAGTTTAAATTCCATATTTTTCACAATCAATTTGTAAGTTTCACTAAGATTTTAATTTCTGCAGTACCACAGACTACTTCAATTCCAGCAGTATAAAGATAATGTACTTATATACCCATCACTTTTGTCCCTGCAAAACTTTTTTTTTTTTAATATTTATTTGGCTGCACCAGGTCTTGGTTGCGGCACGAGGGATCTTCGTTGCAGCTTGCGGGATCTTTTAGTTGTGACATGTGGGCTCTTAGTCGCAGCATGCGGGATCTTTTAGTTGTGGCATGTGGGATCTAGCTCCCCAATGGGACTGAACCTGGGCCCCCTGCATAGGGAGCACAGTCTTAACTACTGGACCACCAGGGAAGTCCCTGTTCCCCCAAAACTTTTAAGACAAGTTTGATGAATTAAACAAATATTGACCTGTGATTTTTCAATTTACATGTTAGCAGAGCCACATATGTTTAAACTGATAAGCTTTTTGTATTAAATCATAATAAAAAAAACCAAAAGAAGAGATGTAAAAATTTTTCATTTTCCCCACCCCAGCGATGTTATTAAATCATCCTTATTTCTACAAGGGTAGGCTTTTAAAGTGTGGAGCAGTTTCCATTAACCTATGTCCTCTATTTCACAGGCCAACATGGACTGCTTAATTTAAATGCAGAATGATCACTGTAAGACAAGTCGTTTTTTAAATTAAAATCCCTATTGCCTTAGTGTACTGCTGACATGAAAAAGGTACTCAGTAAATTGATGATACAGAATGCTAAACTGTTACTGAAATATAACCTGGATTATATGGGTTCCAAATGAGTTTAGCAAAAGATGTGTGGAAAGAGGAACAGGCGTACTTTTAGGTGACTTTCATGCCTAGGATTAACCAGAGATACAACCTCAAGCATTAACATTTATGTTTTACCTTTAGATATAACTTTCTTTGGTTGGTAAGTTTTTACTTTGGGAGACTCAATTTTTTTATACTTTTATTCATTTAATTGTAAAGTATCTTATAATCCTCATTTTTAAGCAAAATATGTAATAAAGGAACACACACATATAAACTCTGTCAAAATAAGCAACAAATGCTGCTTTTTAAACTATCTTACCAGACAGGGTGGTGATGGCTTACTTAGTTTCTCTTTGGAAATCACTAAATTAATTTTTTGCCCTACTTACACTACTGCACTCAAATTAATCTAACTTTGAGCACAAGAAATATAATAGTTACTACATTACTCAGTAGACAGCTTGCAATTAGAGGGAGCCCCTGTAATAACATTAAAGCTAACACTACCAGGGCAGAGTAAATCTTTCTACAAGGAAGGAAAAAGCGCAAATTTTAAAAGAAGAGAACAGTCACATGGTAACAATTTGTCCTATATAAGGGAAAGTGGGAAGATATTAGTCAATGTTCAGTATCTCAGAAAGCATGCGAAGCTCCCTTTATTCCCCAGAGCAAGATTTGAATGTATTTCCTGTTAAAGACCATAAGACCCTAAAATGATATAACAACTATGCTCCCCCAAAATTCCATCACATGGGGCCTTTATGAACAAGAAAAAACAAAAACACCCAACGACCTTAGCTTTACGTAAGTCTTTTCTTCTTACAAGTATATTTTACATCTACTATCCTATCCCATTTTATCATAAAACTAATTTTAATAGGTGGAAAAAGTAAGTAACTACACTTACACGACAAAATAATTAAGTTGGAGTGAAAAATCTCAGATCTTTAATCTTTTTTTTTTTGTCGGTACACGGGCTTCTCACTGTTGTGGTCTCTCCCGTTGCGGAGCACAGGCTCCGGACGCGAAGGCTCAGCGGCCATGGCTCACGGGCCCAGCCGCTCCGCGGCATGTGGGATCTTCCCGGACCGGGGCACGAACCCATGTCCCCTGCATCGGCAGGCGGACCCTCAACCACTGCGCCACCAGGGAAGCCCTTTCCCAAAGATTTTTAAGCAACTAAACTCTACAAAAGATTTCACATGAATAAAAAGATTCTAAGTCCTGAATTTAAACTGCTATCTCTGTCAAATAGTCACAATATATAAAGAATATTCAGTATACATTTGGACTTAAAAACAAAATTTTAAAATTTGTGGAAACGATTTTAACTTATTCCAAAAAAGATCTGAAGTGAGAAATACAAATAAATGGTAAATAAATGATCTTATTTTTTTGTTATTTATTTATTTTGCTGCACTGGGTCTTAGTTGTGGCACGTGGGATCTTTAGTTGCAGCATGCAAACTCTTAGCTGTGGCATGTGGGATCTAGTTCCCTGACCAGGGATCAAACCCAGGCCCCCTGCATTGGGAGCGCAGAGTCTTGGCCACTGGACCAACAGGCAAGTCCCAATAAATGATATTATAAAGGCTGAAACATTGTCTTGATAATCCACAACGACTTGGGCTGCTTTACCAATCCCATTTAGCACTAGTCTACCTAGAAACAGGGTAAGAGATTAAGATTTTGTATATGTAAGATTTGTATATTTGTATATTAAGATTTTGTATATTTTATATATACATATATCTATATGTATCTGTAGCCAAAGCTGGTTAAAAATAACCTTTAGATTATTTCCCAATGCAATCTACACCCCCAGTGCCCACCACCAGTATTAATTCTTATCCATTTTACCTCTGAGCAAGACGCTAACATCTTACTGGATGTAAATTTTAAGGCAAGAAATTTCAGACATCACTCTTTTTTGGCGGGGGGTTCGCAGGCCTCACTGCCGTGGCCTCTCCCGTTGCGGAGCACAGGCTCCAGACGCACAGGCTCAGTGGCCATGGCTCACGGGCCCAGCCGCTCCGCGGCATGTGGAATCTTCCCGGACCGGGGCACGAACCCGTGTCCCCTGCATCAGTAGGCGGACTCTCAACCACTGCGCCACCAGGGAAGCCCCAGACATCACTCTTATGAGAAACCATTTTAGAAACAAACAGTTCTTTCTCTCATCTGTTCTTCACAGGCTTACGATAGGTATTCAAACTTACCTCTCTTTTATTTTTTGCAGTCTTTCTGGGTCTCTTGAGGGTACACTTTTAGTTTTATCATTTTTTCCATCAGATGAACTCCAACCTGAAGGAATAATATCTACAGTGATCATGACATTGTCGGTCAAATTACTTCCAAGTGCCGGGGGCACTGCAAATCGGAATAAGGAACCAGGAAGGATCCCTGTTATTCCTGTACTTCGTCCACCGTGAGCCGAATCCGATATGGAGCCACCCGTAGCAGCACTGCTTGGTGCTGCAGATGCTTGTGGTCTGCTGGCAGTAGCCCCAAGGGGATCACTCTGTGCTTCAAGGTGAACCACTTCATTTGATTCTCTTCTAAAAATATGATGAGATCTAGATGGTATATCAGAGGTAGATATCCTTGAAGATTCATCTCGTCCCTCTCGCCTCCTTCTAGAGAACAAAGGTGTGCATCTATTTCTAAGTGAGGAAGATAACCATGGTCCTGTATTTCTACCTTCAGATTCTTGGTTAAAATTTTGGGAATCTGGCTCAGAGCTATGATTTTGGCTAAGAGATGACAAACCCCATCTTCGCCGAAGAAATCGAAATCCCTGAGAAGCTTCGGATGCCCTGTTATCAGGACCATCAGAAGCTGATGCTGCATTACGAGACTGTGAAGCTGTCAAGATTCTTGGAGAAATGTAAGAATTCTCAGAACTCAATGATCTTGTATTCAAGGAATCCTGACTAGACCTTCGTGAAAAAAAAGTAGATGACATACTAGAAGCTATACGTGACAGCAATCTCCTTGTTGTACGCCTACCTTCATTGTCAGAAGATTCTTGAAATGATCTTTGAGATGAGCCAACCCTATTTGAACTGCCTATAGTTGAGGTTTCACCTCTATTTGAAATATAAGAAAATCCAGGCTGTATACTGCTTTGGGGAGATTCTAATTCTCTTGGAGAAAAATTTGATCTTAAAGAATTTCTACCAGAGTCCCTAGAACATGGTATGGTCTGATGTTCAGAAGGCATTTGGTGATTTGTAGATGATGTATTCAATTGTAAAGTGCTCAAAGAGTTCTCTTTTGGTCTTGCTCCTTGTGAATATGAAGAAGGAACTCTGTCTTGAACATCTATTTTTGAAAGAAAGGAAAGGTAGTCAATTACATGAAAAATTTGTGCATTATTAAGGTTGTGTCTATTAACCACTAATCACTGCCAAAATTAAACACTGGATTCAAACTGAATACTGGCATATTATAACTACACAGCTTAACTATTATTACAGAAAAAATAAACATATTTATCTATCTTTCTATACCTTTGGTAAAATCCAATACTGCTGTATAAAGTCAGCATTACAAATTTTTTAAAAAAGAAATGTATTATAGCTTATGAGAGGCAAACATCAATCTACCAACTTGATGAAGTTAAAACAGTCGAATTTATTAATCAGAAATTGATATGGTAGAAGAATATCTAACATCTAAATGGATAAGGGATTTTAAATGGGCAAACAAATTCAAGGTAAATGACTCATAACAAGTAAAAGCAAAATAATAATAGAGTGTTTTGGAGATTTTTCTTACTCTGGAACAAGAACAAAAGTTATTTCACATAAATACTATCACCCTTATAATTTTACAGCAAACCATGCTAACAGTTCAAAATTTCTCCAATGTTTTACCTTTTCTTTCAAGTTAACAGCAGTGACTCTTACACCCGGTTACTCATCAGACATAACTATGCTTTTTTTTTTTTTTTCCCAATACTGAGTCAGAAGAGAGCCCTGGCATCTGCGATTTTAATAGTACACTACTGATGGTTCTAATCATCGAATGGAAAGAGAAATACCAAAGCATTCCTTCATAAAGAATATTCATCCATACATCTAGTTTAACAGCTAGATTGCTACTGTGCTAATACATAGTGCCTCATGGAAGGATTAACTGTTAGGGACCAAATCAATTCTATTCTGTACATTTTTACGCCCCAAACCGAGAAGCTACCGACACTGTCTACTAAAGCTCCTCCACCCAAAGCCAAGCAAATGAAAAGATGCTTTCATTTGTCTTAAATAAAGCAACGGCCTGCCCCAACAGATTATTTAAAATAATCTAGTTAAATCTTTAAATAGAAATGTATTTTCTTCTCTGTAAATCAAATTCCACTTCTGTCTGCTATATTTCTCAACTTCAATTAGCACCTTTTATCTTCAGTTATTTAGTATTATTGTTTTATGGCATTTATTTTTTTTAAGGTGGCTCTGTCGCACAATGGACAGTGCATTGGACTTCTATTTTTTTTAAAGTTTTGGCTTATGTACACTGACAGAAACAGTGTGGGTCTTTATTCCAACTAAATGAAAATAAAGACAAATTCATGTTAAACTAAAGGAATTCTAAATTATGTCTTAAAATGATGATTTCAAGTTTTAGTTAATTCACAAGGCAAATTATATTGTAGTATACAAGAATTATCAAGTATATGTAAAACATACATTCTTAAGAGTGAAAAAATTATAGGCAGACAGAATCTGGATACTCATGTATATCTAAATATTTTATATTTACATTTTTAAAAGTAAAATGACAAATAAGGTTGAAAACATATCAAGCTATCCTGTATTCTAAATCTTTATAATATTCACTTCATTTATTCCTTTGTACTGTGATTTTAACGACATACAAAGACAAAAATGTAACATTATTAGATAAATTATGCATAACAATATAGTTTATACATACATGATGAAGTTGTGAAATCACCACTTCGGTGACTATAATCCATAAGATTACTAATGGAGGAATCTGCTCTCCTCTCTCTCATTAAGTCAGTTCCAAATGATCCAAGTACCACTGATGACGATCTGGGAACTTGACTATGCCTCCAAGAAGAATCTTAAAATAATTGAAGAAGTCTTAATTCACAGAAAGCTTTCAAGGTTTCTGATGACAACAAATCTTCAGTATTACACAGAGAGGTAATTATGGTTTATTACAGGAATCCCCAGTTACACAGTTGCAATCAAAAGCAAAACTGAGCAAAACATAAATTATTCACTAGTGAAATAATCACTTATAAAATTATCTCCTGCTCAAACACATCCTTCTCTAATACTATAATCTACCCCCATCTAGGATGTCAATGTCTCACTCTCTAGAACATCTGACCATACGATATATAAACATGACGTAAAATGATTACAGAACAAAAATATAAAGCTTGCCAAAGATGCAGAATTTCATGAAAAGTTGATCAAAGTGATGTCGGAGAACAGCCAAAATCAAAATCAAAGCCATCTTGAAATGAAAGAGGTTTATACTGTAGGTTATAATACTATTTTGTCAGAACTATTATTGCCACCATATTTGGTTCATTCTTATGCTAAGAAGTAATGTATCGTTGCAATTATAATCTAAACTTTGTTAGATATGATTTCATTTAAAAAGAAATTAAAAACTAAGTCTCAAAACTTTCCCCCCTCACCATTTACCTTGAAATTCTGGGTCTTCCTCTCCTAGTCCTAACAGCCTTAATAATTTCCCTTCGTTAAGGGAAACAGCCCAGGGTTAATGCTATGCCTTCACAGACCAGAGGAGAACAAAAGTATCTCTACACAATGGTATTTGTCTACAAAGTTAAGGTCAGTCTGCTCTTACCCATCACACTACTCTTAAAATCCTTCAGATGGGCAGTGCCTTTCCCATGGCGGTCCTGCCTATCGAAATAGAAAGGAATCGCTTACACTAATTCAATTAGTAGTACATATGCATTTCAAGAATATTATTCTCCAACTGTGTCATCACAAGTTTTATCTTACCTTAAAACTATTTCAGGCATTGGCTAGTGTTTCATTTGAAGAGAAGTATAAGTGAGGAAGTACCTCTCAACAAAAGATCTTTCCAATTTGTGCAACAAATGTGTGCCTGTATCTTAGTATCTGTGAGTACAAGATACTAAGCATGGAACTTCAAGCGTAAGTCTTTCATACCAGAGTGGTAAAGTGACTTGTCCAATGTCACATAGTTAGAGGACTAGAACCATAGCTTTCTAATTCCTTGTATAGAACTCCCACTAGAATATCGCCAACTATTTTTTGTTTAACTAAAGAATTTCTACATTTTCTGAAAATATGTGTTATATAGCACAATGTTTATTATTTACAAAAAATATGCTAAGGAAACATGTATCAGTAAATCTGGCTTTCTTATTAACAATTTAAAAATTTACCTCCTATAGTAACCAGCAAAATACATGTCACTTTTACTAATTTTATTACCATATGTATCAGCTATTCTAATTAATTAAAATCTGCTAATATCCTGTTTGTGTAAGATATCTGTACCAAATTTAGAACAAAAATCCAAGATGAAGAGTTAATTTCAGTTCTAACTTAGTTAAGATTTTGGAACCTCCGCTCTATTTCTGACCCAGTCTTATGTGCAATCTACTTGCTTATTATTAGTACACTACATCTTGGGAAAAGGGCTTTTGTCCAAAATACATACACAGTGATTTATATTTATACAAATTTAATTATTACCTGATACTGCATTTAAACCATGTCCAACACTTCTCCCAGCTGAGGTAGATGTACAGTTTGTACAGGAAAGTTTAGGTCTTTTTGAATCATGATCCCGTTGCTGGTTTTGCGATCTTGAACGTGCTCCCTGAGTTATCTCAGACTCACTATACCATGTAGACTGAAATGGTAATGCAGATGCTGATGCTGATGTAGACTGTAAGTTAAAAAAAAAGTTTTTTAAAGGAACAATAAAACACTTGCAATTTTTAAATATTAAATTTAAATATTACATTTAATCTACAGTGCTCTAATAAATTCCCAAGGACCATTCATTCCTCACAGACACAAATTTTTCTACCATGTAGGTTTTTCATAGTCTTTGTTCCCTTCTACCACTTGTCCCTTTACTTCATACTTTAATTGTACTTTGCTAGGTAACCAATCTGATTTAGATTATGTCTTCTATGTAACTGAATATAAACACTAGTCTAGGAAACACTGAAGAGTAAAAACTTTATATGTAATCATTTTGTTCTCCTGGTTTAATATTAACCTTTTGAGGAACCTTGTTTCTTCTTCTTAGATAAACAGAACACCAAGAAAGGCACCAATACAGAAAGTGACTGTGAATACTCCACTATAAAAATAAGATTTTCAACTAATACAAAATGTATCTGGATCTTATGTCCATCTCAGGAATACAGTAAAACACTATAAATGGTACTAAAAAAAATCCTAATATACGGAATTTCTTCATCAGTGAAGGAAGAAACAGCTAAAACTACATACTGTAAAACTCTAAGCTCAAGGTTTTTTCTTTAAACATATAATTATATGTACAACAACATGAAATAACACAGAAGTTACAATGTACACACACACACACACACACACACGCAAACACAGAAAGAGACCAAGAAGGACGAATTTGACGCATAATCTCTGAACTGCTTGAAGACACTTACCACTAACGTAAAAGTTATTTCTAGGAAATAACTTATTCTAGGAAATAAAGGAAAAAAGACATTTATAAACCATTTTAACATGTAAGTAGATGGTAAGTAGTTCATTTTATTGAAGAATATTAAAATGAAACAACATTCTTTAAAGTGTTATATTTCTTGACAAAAGAAAAGTTAAAAATGGAATGTTATCATGGGCCATAAATTCAGTCTATATTAACCTAGTATTATAAACATAAGAGCCCAAATAATGTGCTCCATCAAAGAGTTTTAGAGTACAGATAAATAAATAGGTATAATGTAAGTAAGTACTGTAATAGGAGGTATGTTGAAAGTTTTACAGAAAAAAAAAAAAACTATGTCTGAGGAAAGCAGGGGAGAATTCATAGATGATTAACTATGAACTCCATAGGTGGAGTTCACTGAGTAGGCAAATGAGGAAGGAGATTATAGACAGACAACACAAAAAGATAAAAAGATGTCTCAACTATTCTGCCATGGGAATTCTTCTAAGGCATCACTACTTACTTGATCTCCGATTATCTTTTAATTATGAGAAGCATACTGCATGCATTCAGGGAACTGTATTAGTCCATGGTAACTCTACAGAATAAACTGTGCACATACATGGAAAAGCAGAAGATGCAAAGCTGAAAAAAGTAGGAATGGGCATATCAGGATTTCATCCATCCCTTGCCCATTCAATATTTTGCTAATTAAACGTAGAACTCCTCAGCTTAGCACAAACTTGGTCTCACAAGCCTTTCACACCAAGCTGTCCACAGAGCCCCCAATCAATGAACTGGAATAGCACATGAGACGAAATTCATGAGATATTTCAAAATGAAATCATTTTATGTGCCATTGTCAAGGTATCAGGGACTTAATCCTGCAGGCCAGTGGTTCTAAGACCTTTGAATATCAAAGACCAAAAATTAAAAAAAACTGGTTTGATTTAAAATTTAGGAAGAACTGCCACTTTTGACAGGTAAGGAAAACGAAAATAGCGTATACCACCTAACCCCATTCCCCAATCTTTTAAAAAGGGCATTTTATATGCTCCTAAAACAAGAACATAACAGAATAAAACAGACTTGTAAGGTGAATAAATTTTACTTGTACAAAATTCCTAACTTGTCCTTATTTTTCTCATTTTGCATGGACTGGACAAATTGTTATTGAATAGCACCTCCACAAATAAGACTTTAGGAGCTACTGAAGGAGGTAATACCATCAGATCAACTACTTACAAAGATCTTTAGAGCATTGTGGAAGGTTAAAAGAGTGGTATGGACAAAAAGTGGGCAAATCAGGAAGTCACTGGACTAGCAAGAAATGCTAGTAATTCCCATTACTTTCGTTTGTTGGGACAAAAGTAATGGGAATAGAGAGCCATGATAAAAGATAAAAATTCATCAAATTTAGAGACAACGTGAGAAATGAACAAAAAGTCTATAAAGTCACTCCACAGTTTTCTGGCACTGGCCACTGGTGAGATAAAGACACACTCACTGTTCGGCAATTTTCATGACTCACAACTCTAAAAGGTAACCTATATGTCATCCCAGAGACAAAAATACTCAGTATAGGAGAGGAGAAATAAAGTCTGACCAATTTTTCTGCTGGCTTAAATTCAAAGTCAAACTTTTCCCTGGTTCCTACCAATTCAATTTTGTCCACTGTTCAAATATTCTCAGTGTGAAGCAATTAGCTTTTTTCCCCCTCTGAATTCTTTTAACAATTAAATAAAGGATGGGGTTCATTTATACACTATCTTATCTCTTTTGCTATCTAAAACTACTGGTAGCCAAACGAAATCAGGAAGAGTCTGTCTCCAAAGTATACTTAAGTATACTGCCTTGCAGACACCAGATGCTTAAAAAAGTACTTTTGGGGTTGTTTGCACTTAGTTGTTATGAATAATGCTACTATGAACGTCTGTGTTCAAGTTTTGCGTAGACATGTTTCTAATTTTCTTGGGTGTAACTAATGGGTCATATAATACCTCGAAGTTTGACTTTTAGAATAATTAATAAACTGTTTTCCAAAGTGGCTGTACCAGTTTAAAACCCCACAAGCAATTTATGAGGGTCCAAATTTCTCCACAACCTTGTCACCTCTTGTTATTGTCTCACTTTTTAATTTTATTTTAGCCATTCTAGTGGGTATGAAGTGGTGTCTCATTATAGTGTACATTTGCATTTCCTAATGGCTGATGTTGAGCATCTATTTATGCGTTCATTTGCCATTTGTACATCTTTGGACACATGTCTATTCAGGTCCTTCGCCCATTTTAAGCTGGGTTTTTTTTTATTGTTAGGATGTAAGAGTTCTTTACATAGTCTGGTTACAAGTTCCTTGTCAGATAGCATATCATTTACAAATATTTTCTCCCATTCTGTAAGTTGTCTTTTCACTCTCTTCATGGTATCACTTGACTCACTAGTTTTTTAATTAGTTAAGTCCAATTAATCTTTTTGCATTCATTACCTCCAGACTAAGAACATTCATATGAAAATAAGAAGTGGATAGAATTATTAAATATCCATTCAAGTTCCATGGAGTTCTCTCTCATTTTCACTAAATTTCCAGTCTCTACCCCAAATAAGTAACAGATTTGGCTCCTGTAATAAACAATTTTTATGGGTTACTCTCAAAAGGCTATCTGTGATTAGAAAGGAAAATTGTATGGTATGTGCAGGGGGCTGTCTAGCCCAACCAAAGTAGCTGAATACTACTTTGTGTATCTGAGAAATCATATTAAACAGTTTGAAAACTTGATGGAAGGGAAGTTTACAAACATTCTGTAACTACTAGCAGGCATTCAATTTTCATTTTATTTACTTACTTATTTTTATCTTCATGATACTTATTTAGGTTGCCCTTCCAACAAGAGGTTTTTGGGAAGGACAGTCAATGAAATCATTATTTATTTACTATTAGTATTGTATAAGTCAGTATTTGCATTCAGAAAATAATTACTTCTAAAAAAAGGCTAAAAAATATTCCCAATGCAAATGCCCTTAAAACAGTACAGCAAAAAAGAACCTTAATGAGAAAATATTTGTAAATCATATACCTAATTAGGAACTTGTAACTAGAATATATAAAAGAGTAAGAATCAAGAGTAAGCTTTCAAAACAGAAAACACCAAGCCCACATGGGTTCACTGGAGAATTCAATCAAACATTTAAGGAAGAAGTTATACTAATTCTCTACAATCTCTTTCAGAGGAAAGCAGCAGAGAAAATACTTCCTAACTCATTCTATGATATGATGAGGCCAGCACTACCTTAATTCCAAAACCAGACAAAGACATAAGGAAAGAAATCTATAGAGCATTCTCTCTCATGAACACAGCTGCAAAAATCCTGAACAAAATATGAGCAAATCGGGAAGTCCCTGACAGTATAGTGGTTAGGACCTGGTGCTTTCACTGCTGTGGCCTGGGTTTAATCCCTGGTCAGGGTACTAAGATCCTGCAAGCCGTGTGATGCAGCAAGAAAAAAAAAATTAGCAAACTGAATCCAAAAAAGTACAAAATCCAATACCCCTTTATGATTAAAAACTCTCAGCAAACTAGAAATAGAGGGTAGCTTCCTCAACTTGATAAAGAATGCAAAGAATGCACAGTTAACATTATATTTAATGGAGAGAAACTCAAAAGCCTTCACACCAAGATCAGGTACAAGGCAAGGATGTCCTTTCTCACTTTTTTTAAAAACTGACATATATTGATATATAACATTATATCAGTTTCTAGTGCACAAGGTAATTATATAGACACACATATATAATGACCACCACAATAATTCTACTTAACATTCCCCACTACATAGTATAATTTTTTCCTTGTGATGAGAACTTTTAATATCTACTCTCTTAGCAACTTTCAAATACACAATACAGTATTATTAATTACAGTCACCATTCTGTACACTACATCCCCATGATTTATTTTATAACCGGAAGTTTGTACCTTGGCCACCTTCACCCATTCTATACTCTGCTTTGGGTAGTACAGATATTTTAAGAATATTAATTCTTCCAATCCATGAGCATGGAATATCTTTCCACTTATTTGTGTCTTCTTCGATTTCTTTCATCAATGTCTTATAGCTTTCAGTGTAGAGGTCTTTTACTTCCTTGGCTAAATTTATTCCTAGGTATTTTATTCTTTTTGATGCAACTGTAAATTGGATTGTTTTCTTAATTTCTCTGATACAATAGATTTTTGTGTATTGATTTTATA